TTTTCGAGTTTTTTGATTTCTCGATTTATCGAGATTTGGATTTTTCGATATTTTGATTGTCAATTTCTCAATTTATAAATTGTTCAATTTTTAACTTTTCGATTTTTCGATTTTGACCTATTTCGGTTTCTCAATTGTTCGACTTTTCGACTCCACGACTTCTTGATCTTTAGATTTTTCGATTTCTCAGTTTTTCGATTTTCCAGATTTTCGATGTTTCGATTTTTCAGTTATCCGATTTTTTAAATTTGGGAGTTTCGATTTCTCGATTTTTCGAATTTTCCATTATTTTAATTGTTCATTTTTTTCTCACTGTTAATAGCATACAGTGTATCGAAAACAACCACAAAAATTGTCACTACAAACATTTAAAAAAATTCATACAAAATAGAACATAGTGTTTCCAAAACGTTTTCCCGAAAAAAATCGATTGGGTTATTACGATTTCAACAATATTCTTAGTTTAAGACGTTTTGCTAGTATAAAACACAAATAAAGAATTAATTCTTAGTTAAACAAAATATATAAAATCATCTAAATATGTACCAAAAATATTCACTTTGTCGTTATAAAAACCGACCAAACAACTATTTCCCTCAGAAATTATAGTCTAAACCAACCAAATCGCTTCTGAACGCTTAGAGTCGACATTGGCCTGAGCGCGCTCTGGTCTGTAAATCAAACAAGTTCCCAGGCGACGAGTTGTAGTGAATTAAGTTTTTTTCTTGGCATCGACTATTTAAATTTGACGCTTGCCTTTGGCGGTTTAGGACTCCAATGTCAATAAGGGTGGTTTTGCACAATCAGCCTGTATGTCGCATCTATATTCATCTATGACATAGCATTAGATTTTTAAGTTCGATGATGCTGTCAAAAATCAGAAATCTGTCAAAATGCTGTCATTCTGCTTGCATTGAGGTTATGTATTTATTATTAGATTGTTGACTCAGTTTGTTGCATTTGTCTGGTTATTGCGTTTGCGCAAGTGGAAACATTACTAAATAAGCATGCCTAGATAATATAATAATTCATGACGTCTCGTCAGCTGATCGGTGATGGATTGAGCATTACCTGCGCATGCGCTGCAAAAATCTCGAAAGGAAAATCGAACGAAAATAGACACCGTTCTATCTGCGAAATATCGAATGCAGAATCGAGAAGTGTAAACAGAATACGAAAATCGGATAGTGTAAACTAGCTTTAAGAATGGTTAAACACTTGATTTTATGTTCCACCGATTCAGAGGGGCCGCCGCGGAATGGAGCTGGAGTTTAATTATATTAGGGGTATTATTATTTTGTATGCGAATTAATTGAATAAATTATTTTTCTCTTAAAATGTTTTAATTTTTTTAATAAATTGACCCCATAAAAACGTGTTGTGTGCGGAAGTGACCCAATAGAAAAACAGGGCAAAAAAGTGAATTTTCACTTTTAACAAAGGTACCTTGAAAAATTGGTCTAAAGAGTTTAGACAGTACTTCCCTCGCTGTCGGAAACTTGACGACTGCATGCCTATTGTGTTTTTTTTTCTCATTACATTTTTGTAGTGGGAATTTAAAAAAAAATTGCGATGACGTCATCAACATTTTTGCAAGGACACGTATATCAGTTGGGATAGATGTAGTGTAATACTAAGAATAAAATTATTATATTCTCAAATTTTCGGGAAAATGAATTGGGTCGTTTTGAATATTGATTTGTAATAATCAATAAAATAACGAAACAATTTACTCACGTATACGTATCAGAAGCAACTGAAAATCGTGTATGTATAAACATTCTTAATTTAAGATGACAGGCGTAACAGCATACGTGAGAGTCAAACAGAGAAACTGTAAACAAAACGACCATCGGTTTTATTGCTTCGACTTCCGCTTATTATATAAAACATTGGGTTTTATTTTAATTCTTGACGGTGAAATTCACAATTGGTTGATTATAAACATGTCTATTTCACATTCGCGGAACCAAGTGAACGCATAAAACAAATGCAGGTCTGTAATGTTAAAGTCGATGTAAATAAGCGTGCTACCCTTATGTTTCAACCGAGTTTTTCCTTTAACAAATTTTGTGTCTACCAAATTGGGTTGGTTGGGGTGTAATACTAATAATAAGTGTTGCCTTTAATTTAATCAATAAAATAAATTGACTTCATTAATTTTTTTGAACCATCTCTTAAGAAAATCTAAAAAATATGAATGGAATGATAAATCACAAGTACAAACTCATCATATTTTTTGCATTTTAGATAGGATTTATTCAGCAAAATTTAAGGGTGACGTCATCAATTTTTTTAGGAGGGATGAACAAATACATTTTGAACAAAAGTTTACCATGCTTATAATAACTTTAAAACATTTCCAAGATTTCAAAGCATTCGGTTTTGTAATTCCTGATTAAATCGATAAAATAAATTGACGCATTCATTAATTTTTTTCAGTCACCCTGTATATGCCAATCGAAAAATATGAATGGAATGATAAATCACAAGTACAGACTCATCATATTTTGTACATTTTAGATACGATTTATTCGGCAAACTTTTGAGCTGACGTCATCAGTTTTTTGTAGAAGATAACCAAATATATTTTGACTAAAAATTTATTATGCTCTTTATAACCTTAAAACATCTACAAGATTTCAAAGCATTCGGTTTTGTAGTTCCTGATTAAATCAATAAAATAAATTTACGCATTCATTAATTTTTTTGAGTCACCCTGTATATGCAAATCGAAAAAATTTGAATGGAATGATAAATCACAAGAAGAGACTCACCATATTTTGTACATTTTAGATAGGATTTATTCAGCAAAATTTTGTGGTGACGTCATAAATTTTTTAGGGGGGACGACCAAATACGTTTTGATCAAAAATTTACCATGCTTATGATAATTTTAAAATATCTTCAAGATGTCGAAGCATTCGGTTTTGTAGTTCCTGAGTAAATCAGTAAAATAAATTTACGCTTTCATTTATTTTCTTGAATCACCCTGTATATGCAAATCCAAAAAATATGAATGGAGTGATAGATCACAAGTACAGACTGATCATATTTTGTACATTTTAGATATGATTTATTCGGCAAATTTTCGAGCTGACGTCATCAAGTTTTTGGAGGGGATAAGCAAATATATTTTGACTAAACATTTATTATGCTCTTTATAACCTTAAAACATGTGCAAGATGTCAGAGCATTCCGTTTTGTAGTTCCTGATTAAATCAATAAAATATATTTACGCATTCATTAATTTTTTTGAGTCACCCTGTATATGCAAATCCAAAAAATATGAATGGAGTGATAGATCACAAGTACAGACTCATCATATTTTGTACATTTTAGATATGATTTATTCCACAAACTTTTGAGCTGACGTCATCAAGTTTTTGGAGGGGATAAGCAAATATTTTTTGACTAAAGATTGATGATGCTCTTTATAGCCTTAAAACATCTGCAACATTTCAAAACATTCTGGTTAGCAGATTAAAAATTAAATTTCAAAATGTTGTTTTATAATTTTGATTTTTTTTCCAAAAATCTGGACGTTTCGGGTGAAAAGTCGATTCAGAGTTGTAAACTACATGTGTAGGACTATGTTATTTTATACAATTGAAAACCCATTTACTATGTACAATTTTGAAGTGACGTCATCGCATTAGTGGTGGGGATGATTAGACAAATTTTGGTTAGCGTTTTACCATCTACATGATATTCTTAATGTAAGTACAAAATTTCACAACAATCGGTCGAGTACTTTCGGAGATTATCTGTCTAATAATAATCCGGGGGCAGACGGACAGACGGACGGACAGACGGACGGACAGACGGACAGACAGACGAAAATGGGAGACCTATTTCTTCGTCTTCTAGGGGTCATGAAAGATCGAGAAAACGTAAATGTAGAGAGTCGGCCGACGGACTCGATTACAATACTTCCTTTGCTTACGCTCGGGAAGTAAAAATGGGGTCAATTTGATAAAACAATGGTTTGTGCTGACCAAGCCCATGTAGTTTTGCTTTTTTAAACATACCTTTGAAAACAAGGTCAAAGTCTTAAAAAAAAAACAAAGTGTTCTGAAGGGTCCTAACAGGACAACGTCTTTAACACAAGGCAAAATTCCTAATTTTGAGTGTTTTTGAAAGGGAAATTTGTTTGGACGAAACCGCATTCTTGTTTAGAAAAGCGGGGTATTTTCCTTGAAATGTTGACTTTTTTGAAAGGGTGCGTTTGCAAAAACAGGGTAATTTTCTCAAAAATTTAACTTTATTAAAAAGTTATCTTGAAAAAACAGGGGAAAATGATTAAAAAAACAAGTGTTCTAAAGGGGCCTACTTGTACCAAATTCAAAACAGGGTAAAATTGACTTCATATATAAAATTTTCTTTTTTTGAAGTGAACCTGTTGACCAAGGAGATGGAAAATACTGCAGTTTCGTAGGCAGCAGACGACGACCGTTCTCTTCAACGTCTAGATGCTAAACGACAATTAAAAATTGTCAAAACATGACTCAAAAAATCATCCGCAGCCACCATAGTAAAATAAAATTTACCATTAATTTTGACGTTTCATGTCACAACTTTTAATCACGTGATCCAAACGTTTATCATAGTAGCCACCTATTAATAATTACGAATTTGCAATAATTGCGAATATATTTAATTCTTCATAAACAATTTGTGGAAGTGGAATAAATAACAGATACATGTGTCACATCTCAAATCATTAAAATGATTTTAACGAATTTGATAAGACGTTACAGTTTTCATAACAGACTAAATACATTAAATTAAATATACCGTATCTTTTAATAAATAATGTGAAACGCCAATGCACCGAAATATGTGATTTGATTTCTATTTACATAATGACACACATCTTGCTCAAAGGTTATCATCCAACGTTATTTAATACGCCATTAATTATTACGACTCCTGATACTGCTGTACACTCGGAAGTAACCAACATGTAACATTCCCACGATGAGATAATCGAGACTTACCAGCGAAAACTGAAGCAATTGTGGCTATGAGGAACGAAAGAACCACTGCCGGCCCAGCTGTATCCTTTGCAACGTGTCCCGCTAGCACATAAACTCCCACACCTAAAGTGCTTCCAACACCCAGTGCTGTCAAATCGAGTGTGTTTAAAATTCTGCCCAATTCAGACTGTTCGGCAGACACTGGATCGAGAACTTTTTTTCTTGTTAGCACTTTCCATACGGTACCCATGTTCCTAGTTTTCGGTCTTATGAATGGTGTCTTAAATCAACACTGCTCGCATCGTGATACTGGGACTAGCTACAAAAAATAGCGCTGATTATTCTGATAACACGAATTGTTTGATAAGGTGATAATAAAATCATTGTTTGCGTTAAATGTATTGTTTAAGAGCGACTTTGATAAGCATTGTGTGTAACGTTTACGTATTTTTATTACACATAGAAAATAACATAACCTTATCCTCACCTGTTGATTTTGTCAGTCGTTCTGGGAAACTTGTAAAGTTAGAGGTGGTGGTGTTTTAAACAGCTATGAAGTGGGCAAAAAGGTTGCTAATATTTTTGTTAAAAATAATAAAACGATAAGTAAATTCCAAACAGATAATAAAAAATGAATGACAACTGTCAAATATAAAACTGTGACTAATAAAACTCTGGTCGCACCGCCCCTTTTCTTGTTTACAAATGGTTCTAAATGAGTAAACAGTGAAAAAGGTGGTAAATTTAAAACGAAAATTGTTTACTTTTAAAACTAATTCTTTAATTTTATTTTTAAACTGCCAAGTTCACTTCATGTTACACTGACGGAAAGAAAAGTTGAAATAGAAGTTTTTATTTTCACTACGAGGAGTATAAGAATTGACAACACCATGTGATGCAAATAACTGATGAGGTTCTGCTTATTACGATTTCTTTTTCAAGTTTTAGTAAGAATGTGATAAGCAAAATTATGTTAATAGTGTAGTATGTATGTGTATACAACGGCGCAGTTTTCTTATCTTTCTTTCAGGAAGCTGTGGTATCCAATAAACGCTCTCGTAAAAAAAAAATTGTAATTTTGCTCTGATAATAATCATGTGATTGCATTAAAATGACGCATTTTTAAAGCATGGACGCCGAATTATGATATTTTTCGTGAAAATGTAAGTAAAGTAGGTTTTCACTCAGTACTCAGCTAAATACACTCCCAGACAAAAAAACCCGGACACTTGAATTTTTTGCGATAACCTGTAATTGGTTGAGCTTTTGTAAAAAATATTCCAAAAAGCAAAAGATTTATGTAGTCATTAAGAGAAAACATAACTTTGTTCTAAAACGTGGAAACCGAAAAAAAAGTAAAAAAAAATATACCTAACACTCTCAACATTACCGTAAAGTTACAAATATTCAAGCGTACGGGTTTTTTTTGTCTGGCAGTGAATTTTTGAAGCTTAAATTTGGATGTGGGATCAGTGGATATAGCTTATTAAGAAAAATGAAACTACCATTTCCAGCTATTCGAACATTGAATTTTCATTTACAAAATTTAGAGTTTAAATCTGGAGTTTTGGATGAAATTATAGGGTTTTGAAAATTAAATGTGAATCGCTTAATCAGGATTTTGGGAGGGATTGTATGGTGGCATTGGACGAAATGGATATAAAAGCTGGTACTGATTATTGTGTACAATCGCACGCAAATGTTTTGAACCTATGGGCGGATCGTTTTTGCCTGCCCTCACCGAAGAAGGCGGTCCAACTCCTTCAAGGGCAGAATTTGTAGGCAGGCTCAAACTACAACGAAATTCACATTTTACCCTATAAAATTTTATTGACAATAACGGGACGGACAGTAGTTATATATACATTTGGTAAGAAATATTTATGGCTCACGCCAGTTCTCTCGAATTTGTCGGAGAAAATTTAGCAGGTAGTTGTTCCCATAAATCATAAAATAATGGTCACTTTCGTTCGTGATAACGATGGTCCGGACATGAATTATTTTGCTTTCTAACATCTTTCGACCAATTGTTCCGTATAAAAAATTTCATCACTTTTTCAAATAAAATACTCTTTAAAAAAAAAACGATATTGTCGTTGAGCGACATGTAACTGGCATAATAATAAAAACGTGCCATTTTTGTTAACTGATATTTTTTTCATAAATGTCGCAAAATTATTAAATTTGTCTAATCATCCCCACCAATAATGTGATGACGTCACTTCAAATTTATGCATAGTAAATGGGTTTTAAATTGTATACAGTTACATAGTCCTACACATGTAGTTTATGAGTCCGTGTTGAGTTTTTATCCGAAACGTCCAGATTTTTGGAAAAAAAATCAAAATTATAAAACAATATTTTGCAATTTAATTTTGAATTTGCAAAATCGAATACTTTGAAATCTTGCAGATGTTTTAAAATCATGATAAACATGATACATTTTTAATTAAAATATATTTGCTTATCCCCTCTAAAAAATTTATGACGTCACCTCAAAATTTTGCAGAATAAATCCTGTCTTAAATGTATAAAATATGATGAGTTTTATACTTGTGATTTATCACTGCATTAATATTTTTTAGATTTGGTTATACAGGGTGTCTCAAAAAAGTTAATGACTGATTCAATTTATTTTATTGAAGAAATCAAGAATAGCAAAACTGAATACTTTGAAATATTGTAGATGTTTCGAAGTTTTTGTAAGCATGGTAACTTTTTCGAAAATTTGATTAATCAAATATGCGCAAAATCAAAAATCGGAAAAACTGAAATTCACTAATACAAAAAACAGAAAATCGAAAAATACAAATCGTAAAAATCGAAAATCTAAAAATGGATAATCAAAAAATCGAAAATTCAATGAATCAAATACCTAGGTCGATCGAAAAGTGGAAATTCACAAACCTCAAAAACGAAAATTGAAAAACGGGAAAACCAAAAAATCGAAAAGTCAAAAATTTGTAATATTGAAAATAAAAAAAATCAAAAACAAAAATTAAAAAAATCGGAAATTAAAATAATCAAAATATATAAAGGTACAAAAATTGCAAAGCCTAAAAACTGAAACGAACAGAAAAATCGAAAAAGCAAAAAATTCGAAAAACAAAAATTCGAAAAATCTAAAATCGAAAAAGTGGAAAATCGAAAATCTGAATAAAGAAACTTGGAAATTCTGAAAATTGGAAAATCGAAAACCAAAAAATTGAAGTCTTAACAGTTGAGAATGGAAAAATTGAAAAACCGAAAATTCTAAAAATCGACAATGGACAAATTGAAAATCGCAAAATTTTAATTGAAAAATTGAACATAGAAAAATAGATGAATTGAAAAATCGAAAATTCGACTACTCAAATTTTCTAAAAATCGAAAAATCATAAAACCGAAATATCCAAAATTCTGATGGTCGAAAGTCTGAAAACTGAAAATCGAAAATTCTGAAAAGCGGAAAATAGAATATCGAAAAATTTAAAAGAAAGAAAATTGAAGTCTAAAAACCGAAGAATGGAAAAATTAAAAATCAAAAATTCGAAAAATCAAAACCGAAAAATTCAAAGATTTGAAAAGAAAATCGAAAAATCAAAAATCTGAAAATTGAAACTCGAAAATTTGGAAAATCGAAAAGTAAAAAAATTGAAGTCTAAAAGCTGAAAAATGGAAAACTGAGCAATCGAAAATTCGAAAATCAAATATCGAAAAATCGAAAATTTGATAAATCAGATATGCGAAAAACAGAAAATCTGAAAATACAAAACTGGAAAATCAAAAATCTAAAAATGGAAAAACCGAAAAATCGAAAATCGAAAACTCGAAAATTCAATGAAACAAATACTCGAAAAAATGAAAATCGAAAAAACGACAATCGAAGAAAAATCATAAAATCGAAAAGTGGGAAATCGGAAAATCACAAAATTGAAATCTAAAAGCTGCAAATTGCAGAACCATAAAAACTGAAACAAACAGAAAAATCGAAAAACCACAAAAGCGGAAAAACGAAAATCGAAAAATGGCAAATCGAAAAATCGTAAAATCAGAAAATGGAAAATCGAAAAATTTTATGATTAATGGAAAATCGAAAAATCGAGAATAGAAGAATTAAAAAACCGGAAAATTGAAAAATCGGAAATCGAAGAATTAAAAACGTAAAAAACGAGAATTCAAAAATCAAAAAAATCGGAAAGTAAAATATAATCGAAAAATGCAAAAAAATTGCAAAGTCCAAAAACTGACGAACAGAAAAATCAAAAAATCTAAAAATGGAAAGACGAAAAATCGAAAATTGAAAGAATGGCAAATTAAAAAATCAAAACATCGAAAAATCAAAAAAACGAAAAATTAAAAAATCGAAAAACGAAAAAACTGAAAACTCGAAAAATCAAAATACTGCAAATTTGAAAAATCAGAAAATTAGAAAGTAATAAAATCGAAAAGTTGATAGAAAAATGGAAACTGAAAAATCTAATTCGATGAAACTGTTGGTCGAAAAAACGCAAAATCGATAATCGAAGTGACCTTTTCTTGAGACAGGTTGTATAAGTAAATCTAAAAAATATTACTACAATGATAAATCACAGGTATAGACTCATCATATCAAATTTTACGATGACGTCATGCATTTTTTGGCGAAGATAAGCAAATACATTTTGATCGTGGCTTTGAAAGTATTCTTCGACTTTCGTTCCATTTCAAAATGTACTCTTTGTATATTTAAGTGGTCACAACGAGTTCACTAACTACGCTGAAGTATGCAAAGATTAAATTTGTCACCGAAAAGATGTCGGAAGTAATAAATTATCCTATCGGTCGAAGAACGTTCGGTCCGGTGTTACATCTCGACCCAAGAGAGACAGCAGTAAAGAATAACAAATGGAACGGATAAAATAAAGCGTCAAATATGATTGATAAACTTTTAAGCAAAATTAAGAAGTTTATAAACTGAACATTTTTTTTGCTTTTTGAAATGTAGTACACTTCAAAAAATGTCCGTGACTTACTTTAATAATATAGAATATTAGTGTGATTTTGAGCATATTTTCGATGTTATTAGAGCAGGACAGGTGTTTTTTCTAACTAATTGACAAGAATTCAAAGTATTCAGTTTTGCAATTAGACTCATCATATTCTGAACATTTTAGATAGGGTATTTATAAAATTAAAACTAATTAAGAGTAAGTATTTATAAAATTAAAACTAATTCAGGGTAAGAATTTGGTCAACACGTAAATTTCGTTGTAGTTTGAGCCTACCTACAAATTCTGCCCTTGGACGATTTGGACCGCCTCCTTCGGTGACGACCGGCAAAAATGATCCGCCCATAGGCTCAAAACATTTGCGTGCGATTGTACATAGTGGGACATATTGGGGGAATTACTCTACCAAAACATGAGGGAGTAGCGACAAAAGCGTTGGTAATTCTTGTGGGAGGTATTACTACTCGCTGGAAACAAATTGTTTCATACTATTTTATTGGAGACAGTATGAATGAGGCAGTTCTAGTTGATGATTTTAAAGAAGTTTTTAAGAAAATCAGTGCAATTGGTTTGAAGGTTCATTCTGTAACCTCAGATATGAGATCGGCGAATCAAGCTATGTGGAAAACTTTTGGAATAAAAGCTGGAAGAAAATGCGAAACAAAAAATTATGTCCTAAACCCAGTTAATGGCGAAAAAATTTACTTTTTAGCAGATGGGCCACATTTATTAAAAAACATAAAGCAATGTTTGGTACAAAACAAAATCATTCAATTACTAAATGATTTTCTTGAAAAATATAAACTAACTTCTGATTTGGTTGACGTGCAACATATTGAAGATTTTTGTGAAGAAGAAGGCAAATTTGAGCTGCAATTTGCGTCTAAGTTAAATGTGGATCTTTTACAATCCAACCATTTTAACAAAATGAAGGTGTCAAATTCTCTAAATGTT